TTAATAAACAAAATAATTCTTTTCTTTAAAAACCAACCTATTTACATAGCAACATTTCTCTTAACGTTGTCAACAAACTCTTCTGATTTAGCTGTTATCTGTATTTCCTCTACTTTTGCTAATTAGTATATAGAAATCAATTTTTTGTCTCTCCAATCATCATGACAGTCTGATTATACTAGTTCTAGAGCAATTTTTTGAAAGTATTCTATTGAGAGAGAAGCATTATTTGTCACATAGTGAAGACTTGTATCTCTTAGTGTGGTTGAACAGTAAAATAAAGGTTTTAAAATTTTACATTTGTGCTCTCCTAAAAGTTTTTTAAATTAAACAGACTGCCTACAAAGATAAGAACACAAAATTCAGAAATAAATAAGTCCTTTTACCTAGTATTAGCAGCAATAAACTCTAAGAATTTATTAAAATTGATTCCCTATTTTAAAATTGCAAAATATTAATTCTCTTACTTTAAAATGAAAATTTATGTACCTTATTAGTGCACATATGTATATATGTGAATGATACTAAGTATATAGTTGTTTAATTACTAATAGTATGATACTGTGCAATAAAAAATTCAACAACTTCTTATAAACATAGCCCAAGCTCTTCATTTAAAAACCAAATACGATATCACTACTACTCACTACATTAGATGCTATGGAAAGTGCCTACTCAATATAGGTTACATAGCCCCAGGTTCTCTTACAATGCTTTAAATAAATTACTTAACTACCTGGTCATGTAACTTATCTATAAAAATAAAAGGCAACTTTTTAAAAGATAAAAAGCTACAACCTAATCATCCCCACTCTCACAATTATTAATTTTGATTAAATATAGATTCTAATTTGTTTCTTATTTATAGAACTATTAAAATGATTTCCAATATATATGCATTCTTGGGGAAAGAATAGTTAATGCTATCGGGTACAAATTTGCTTTTTAGAAGAAAAAGCAAGAAATGATTAAGGAACAGAGTGAAAAGCTTATGAAACTTAACATGAAGTGTTTACTAAAGCATTGTTCCTGAGTAAGGGGCCAGGATAGTGGGACATTTATTCTCTCACTTAATTCAGTGCATTTGAGGTGGGAGATTCTCACTTAATATTTGGCAGGATGCTCGAGAGAACAGGATCCCATGTGCTTAATCTACAGAGAATGGTAAACTGCTTCTCCTTTATGAACTCATCCACTGAAGAATAATTTTATGAACTTAAGGTCACTTTATTGATTGGGAAATTAAGCACGGAAGGAAGACACCACAGACTCCAATACTCTAGTTACCAACCTTTGTCACTCTAGGCTGTGGATATCACACCTACTCCACAAAGGAGATCTTGACCCTTAAATTTTTAATACATGTTTTATTGCATAAAATTACAAACAGAGGAAAAATAAATCAGGTTGGGCCAGTTCTGGTTTTGATGGGCAAGAAAATCAGGTTATAATTTAGTACGAAAATTGTTCCATAGATTTCTTCATCTAGGAGGAAACAAACATGATGCAGACAAGAAACGTGATGCTGTGCCACTATGACTACTCATTTGCTTCAGGCATATTCTTCTTCCCAGACTCATGAAAGTCACCACTGTATCCACTCACATCATCTATCACTTGAAGCAGTCAACAGAGTCACCAGAAAGGGATCTCTTAGAAAAAAGGAAATAGAAGACATGTAGGAAATAGGAAAAGCAAGAAATAATTGGAATAAAAGTTACTATATTTGAGCCTTTACTGAGACATGACATGATTAAGCATTCTTTGCCAAAGTTGTGTGGCTTAATCTTTACAACATTGAGAAATACTAATTTCCTTATTACTGATGACATAACTTGATGCACCAAGAGATTAAATAACATCCTGAATGAATATCACGCAACAGAAAGTTCTCATTTACCAATTTCAAAATTCACATTCTTTCACCATGAAAAAAAGTTTTTAACAAACCAAATTATTCTCCCATGGTATATTTAATTCTATAATAGAAAAAGTTCTTAGAAAATTTTAGTAAATGGTAAATTCTGGTAAAATTTTAGTAATCTCTTCTTAAAACCTTCCTCCTAATTCATGGAAACCTACAGAAGGTGTGGTCTGGTCTCTACACTGTCTTTATAAAGAAATCCTCAGTATCACAAGTAACTCATACCCCTTAATTTTTCTTTCTTTTTTTACAGTGCTGGAGTTTGAACCCAGGGTCTCACATGCTAGGCATGCACTGTACCGCTGAGCAGCCCCAGCCCCCATTCCCCTTTCAACAGCTCTTACTGTTCACATTTTTCTGAGATTTGCCTCTGAAAACAATAAGCCAGTTCTAAATCTTCTCCATGACAGCCTAAAACATCATTGTAAGAATATTTAGACCAAGCTGGGTAAATGGTGCATGCCTGTAATTCCAACACTTAGAAGGCAGAAGCAGGAGGATCACAAGTTCAAGTTCCAATGAACAACTTTGAGAGACTCTGTCTCAAAATAAAAAAGGGGAGGAGATATAGCTCAGTACTAAGGCTGTGGGTTCAATCCCCAAAACTGTAAAAAGAAAAGGGGGGGGGGAGATGGGGAATATTTAAATCATTTAAGACTTCTGACATTTCTTCCTGAGGACATTCTCTGTGGCTAGCTGGTATGACCATTTCTAGCAGCTTAAAGAAGATTCTAATAAAGGACAAGAGCATAACCCCTTGTTCTCATCTGTGGCACTATAAGTCTATAAATAATAAAAAATATTGAACCACTTATTTATTTGTCAACCATATCACAACACTGCTGGCTCATAATGAACTTAAAGTCAAGAAAAATTTCTTGAACTACTATAAACAGTTCTTGACTTGAAGTTTCTTGACTTGAAATCAAGAAAAACTTACTTGAATTGCTATAAAAAGTTTCCCTCATCTTAGCCTTGTGTAATTAACTTTTTGAACTAATGCATAAGACCTTTTCTTTCTGTCAAAGTTCCATCCTTAGACCTTGAATACTGAAGTCTGCTGTCCCTGATACTCATGAGTAACTTGCAGTCATCTGCAAATTTGACCCTCCATGCTTTCCTCCATGCTTCCCTCCATGCTTAATTCAAATGGACAAAAACACCACTATTTAGGACAAAATCCAAAGCCCTGGGCTCACTACTGAAGACCCACTAATGATTTCCATGATGCTTCACCAATTATCAAACATTTTCACAACTACCCTATGCATAACACATTATCATTCTTCTACACATGAAGAAAAGGACCTAAGATAAACTCTAAGAGGTCTGTGATGTGATGCAGCTAATAAATTACAAGATAAGAAACAAGTCTTGGGGTTGATAACTCTGTTTCCAGTCAAAGGCAAGTTTTTATTAATTATTCTTATTTTTTTAATTTTTTTTTTTTTTTTTTTGGTGATGGGGATCAAACCCAAAGCCTTGCTCATGATAAGCGTGCATTCTACTATGGAGCTATTCCCTCCTCAGTCCCCAAAGACAGATTTTTAAACATAAATATTTACCTAATCTTTTTCCTTCTTCTTCCCAAGATACTAACAGAGATTCATTAAAATCAAAAGAATGCTGAGATTAAATCTTACTCCAACAAGCATGGCTATCATTAAAGATGCAAAACACCAAATGCTGGCAAGGATGTGAAGAAAAAAGAACCTTTCTACACTGTTGATGGATATGTGTACTAGTACAACCACTATGGAAAAAACTAAAATTAGAAATTCTATTTGACCCAGCTATACCTCTCTTGGGTATCATCCCCAAAGAGTTAAAGATATCATATTGCAGTGACACATGCATACCTATGTTTATAGCACCAAAAGGGTACCTTGGTTCAAGAACATTTTGGTTCACAAACAAAAGGGTTTGGCAAAATTTTGTTTTTGTTTGCAAACTCTACATGGGGTGATAAAAATGACTGTGGCTATCTTTCCCACATAAATAAACATGGCCATCTTTTCCAAAATCATTTGTAAATCAAAGTACCACTGTAATTCTCAATAGCTAAATTATGGAAATAGCCTAGGTGCCCTTCAACAGATAAATGGATAAAGAGAATGTGGTATAAATACACAATAGATATAACAATGGATTATTACTCAGCCATAAAGAAAGATAAATTGAGTCACTTGTAGGAAAATGGATGGCTCTTGAGACCATAATATTAAGTGAAATAAATCAGACACAAAGGTTAAATATCATATGGTTTCCCTTATATGAGAAAGCTAAAACATAAATAATTACAGGGCAAAATAAAGGACAGATGGTAGGAAATAGAGAGGTGGACTTTTTGGAGATGGGGAAGGGGATCTTGGGAATGAGGGAAAGTGAAGAGTGGGGGTGAAAAAGAAAAACTGATCAAGATAATAGATAGATGATAGATAGAATCAATTTCCCAAAAGGAATGGAAGTATTACTTATCGCAGTTATACAGAGGAAGAGGGAGAGAGAAGGAGAGAGAGGGAAAATTATAAGCTGAGCCTGGCATCTCCCCTCACTCTTACACACCCCCATTCTCTCTTTCGCTTTTCCACCATGAGGCAAAGCCGCATGTGGTGCTCACCAGATCTGGTCCCTGATCTTGGCCCTTCCAGTATCCAGAACCATGATGCAAATTAACCCATTTTCCTTTATTAAAAAAATCAAGAAACATTTTCTACACACTAAATCAAACACAAAATATCAAGCAGATTAAAAAATGGCTTCTCTGGCAGAGGATGTATGGGGCTCATAGCTCCTGTTCCTTTGTCCTACTGGAGACAACCCCTCAGTCCTGGCACCTGCAGCACCTTTATCCTCAGAGTATAGAAATCACTAGCCATGGTGTCCTCACACTGTGACCTTCTCTAAAAATAATTTTTAAAATAAAGGTAGCCTATGCCTCATTTTTATATTTCATTCTAAATTTTTGTGAGAGATTATTTATCCAAATGGTTTGATGACATTTTACACAGAACAGAATTATTTTAAAATTTGAAGACATCTTCAGGTTTATTTAATTCGAATTTTTATTTCACAGATGAAGTAATAATAACCCAGAAAGGAGAATTAACCCACACAAGATCATTCTGAGGAGAAGTGAAGCAGAAGACCAGACCTGGACACTCCGGAGAGGTAAATTGCTCTGATTATATCCCGCAGTCATGTTTTTAGAAATCTGACCTTTTGACTACAAATGACGTCATTAACAAGCTGAAGCTTCTAGTTCTGTCTTATTAAACAATCAACAAATATTTATAATATACTGGGTATTATATTGGCATTTAAGATTATATAAAGGAATAAAATGTGGTAATTAACTTTAAATATTAGTATCTGAGAACCCAAGGTGCTACAGGTACCAAGGTTGAGGGGAGGCCTGAGATAGGACATTCAAAACTGTGATTCTTGGCTTACAGACAGTACAAGCTTCTGTGAAATGTGTACAGAAAAACTTTGATCGAAGCAAAATTTTCATAAATGGCCACCCTTTCCCTAGGCAAGTCCTTAGCTTCCAGATTAAAAATCCCTTGACCTAGAAGAAGCCAGTCTTGGTACAAGGGCCAAGGTCAGACTTGCATAGCATCAGGTACTGCTTTATTTATGGGTCTTTTAGTTAAGACTGCTTCTGTTTCAACATTCTTCATCTTTTTATTTAAATGGACAGCATCTTATTCGGAAAGGCCTTGGTACAAGAGAGGAGTTAAGTCTTAATAAGCACAAGTCTTAATAAGCGACAAAGTAAGAGAAAAGAGTACACTAAATTGAAAACATTTTCTTTCAAAACGCTAATAAAGTGAAAATTATCAGCGTCCACAGTAGGACTTTCATTTTCTTTCTTTTTGTCCTCATTATTATTCTTAAGAAAAACAGAAAGTAGAATAAATAGAAACCTAGACTGCTACTAGTTGTCTGTCCACTCTTACATCTATAGAAACAGCAACCTACCAGCCAATGGGAGAAGGGGTGGAGGCTGTGGACAAAAAGAAATAGGTTTATCTTTTGAATGCTGTTACCTAATCTTTCCCTTATTGCTACAATATTTCAAGAGATTTATCGTTCTGAAATGACTGGAAACAGCTTCTTCATGTCAAAATATTTTGGAAAGCTCCAGTTGTATTTTAAAGTTATTAGTAACGAGGCTTGGTTTTACTAATTCAAAAAATAGTTCTTGGATGCTGAGCATTTGTAAAAATGGTTTTAGGAGGGAGGATGGTGTGACAGAAAGAACATTTCAGAATGAGAGCATTGTAGACTGAATCCCAGTGTTGTTTCCACCTTGGCTTCTGAAAATAAGCAAGGTGCAAACCTTATTGAGACTCAGTTTCTTCATCTTTGAAATGAGGTGATACATTTGAACTGGTCAATACAGTTCTTGTCCAGTAAAGAGCAGTTTTCCAGGTTGCTAAGCTTTGTATCTCCTTTATGGCAGCCACACCAGAGCTGAACATTCTGTAAAATAATCTTTCTAAAGCCAGTAACTGATAAAGGTCATGTGTTCTCCCTTCAAAATGACCTCATTCTCTTATATTCTTTCTCTAGTTCTTCACAATTTGGCAATCGTATATTCATGTAGTATGGTAGTGATCATAATAGCTAACATTCGCTTAGCTCTTCCTATGTATTATTCTAGATGCTTTATACTTTTTTAATCTTCTTAACAGGTATAAGAATGAAGTTATCTCTGCTGTTTTCCAGTTGAGGAAATTGAGGGTAAAAGTGGTTATAATTTAGCCAGGTCACATTAGTTGGGACAGAGGTGGGATTCAACTCCAGACAGGACCTGGAGCCCAAGTATGTCAGCACTGCAGCACAGTGTCTCTCAGCAGGATTATCGTCCAACACCCCCTGCCAACATAGTCACCAAGACACCTTGAGCCTCACCTTCTACCTCTTTAAAATAGGAATAGTGTAAATTTAAAATTCCCCCGTGGCTCACCACACCATCATGCCGGGATGCTGTCTCTGTTCTTTGAATGGAGCTCCATGTTACAAGATTCTAGTGCTTTCAAGGATCTCTGTATTTGTTTCCTAGGGCTCCTGTAACAAATTACCACAGATTTGGTGGCTCAAACAACATAGATGTATTCTCTGATAGTCCTGGAGGCAGAAGTCCGAGGTCAAGATGTTGGCAGAGCTGTGCTCCCTCCAAAGACTCTAGTGAGAATCTTTCCTGGCCTCTTCCAGCTTCTGGTGGCTTCAGGCAGTCCTTGCTGGTGGCTACATAACTCAGTCTCTGCCTCTGTCTTTACATGGTCTTCTCCTCTGTGTCTCCTTTCTAAAGACAGTGTTACAGTGCTATTTAGCGCTGATATAGGTGATTCAGAATGCTCTTATAAAAATTCTTAATTACATCTAAAGCCATTTCTCCCAAATAAAGCCACATTTACCAGTTTCAGGACATAGACATATCTTTTGGGGGCCACCATCCAACCTACAACAATATCTTGATCCAAATATTGGAATATATCCTTTTGGTATTATTCCTAATGTCTATTCAAAGAGAATGTACAATTTAGGCCATAGTAAAAGTAGCTTACAAAATCTATTGAAAACTATATATTTTTAACATGCTTAATTGCCATTAGCTTTCTCTACATTTACTTGAGAATCAACGAAGTTCTTAGGAAATAAGTAATTGTTTCCTATTTAAAAGGAAAACAAGCTTGGGCTCAGCAACCCTCCACCCTGCACTAGGAACATATAGCTAGCCAGGTCCTAGGGGGCAGAGAGGTGAAGCCAGGTAATACATTCACACTACATGTAGTTCCCAGGAAAAAAAGAAACACTTTTGGACAAACTGTCAGCAAGACTTTTTTTTCTTTTAGTATATTATTTCAGCAACCTAATTCTAAGTATATAAGATTAATAAAGTCCAATTAGAATATTGTCTAAAAACAACATGTCTTGGTTTAATTCTGTAAACTCCTGCCCTTCCCTTCCAATCTACATCCCACACCCCCTCCCTGAAGCCCTCTAACCTGAATAAAGTTGCACCACCAGTCTATCAGGGAGTTGTCCCTTTAATGAAAGGATTGACTGAGAGGGCACCATAAATGTTATGCCTATCTCCATGGCTCCTGGAGTCAGTCTGGCTCAGCCTTCATCTTTCCAACCAGCAGGGATAACTGAGATGCAGAAGCACGTCCCTGAGAGTGGTGAAAAGCCAGCTGGCTCTATTGCTATGGTCGCCAAAGCACATCTATGAAAGTTCGATGTTGCTGATTACCAAAATAAGAAAATCACTGAGCTCATCACCAGAAGCTTTCCAGGCAGCAAAATAAAATATAAAGAATAAGCCAAAAACAGAATCAAGGGAAGAGGAAAAGGAGGATGAAGAGAGCAGTAAGCAAAAACAAAAGAGTTTTATGAGCACACATAAAATTTTTATAAGTACTGTGTTCAATAGTACCCAAAAAAGTACATAGAAAATATACAATTAGTGTTACAAAATGCTCTTGGAATGGTCTTTGCTGATTCTACAACAAGATTCCCTTTGGCAGAAATGTGAGATAAAGTACTCATCAGGTATGCTCTTGACAAATCAATATTATAGTAATACGCTTTCACCCTCAAATTGCTCCTTGGATAAAAGTGTTCAGTTTTCGAAGAATCATCAAATATAATCATGATTGGTAAGGATGAGAGGATGAGATAAAGGTTTAATTTTTCATGGTCAGGCTTTTGGCTATTAAGATGAACAGAGTCTCAGAAACAAACCATAAGCAAGTGGCCTCTTTACCACACTGTGGGTTTGATGCCTGAGAAAGACCTGAGGAAAAGGAAAAAAGTATAAGACTGGCCCCATGAACATGGGACATCATTGCCAGAAAATGGGTTCACACCTGCAGTAGAAAAGTAGTTTCAGGGAGAGAGATGTACCTCAGCAGCGCAGCACCTGCCCGACAAGCGTGAGGCTCTGAATTCAATTCCTGGTACAAAAAAAAAAAAAAAATTTCAGCCAAACACTTAGCTGCTTTTCCACTTTGAGTCCCATTTAAGTACTTTACATATTGGGGTCCTATGAACCCTTTTTTGCAAAAGCAGGTAGCCTGTCATAGAACTTATAATTCCCACAAATACTGTGGGACTGAAGTTACTGGAATTTCTCTAATGCCCAAAATGAACCTAAACATGTCAACTCTTTTCTCAAAAGGCTCTTTGGAGTTTCACAGTTTTGAGTTTTCTTCTTATACCCCAAAAGCCAAGAAGGAACCTCAATTGGAACCTGAAAATTATTATTTGAAGGCTTTTAGGATTATTTGTTTACTCAGCTGTCAATAGTAAACCCATGCAATTTAGTTAGACTGTGTCACTCCAACTTTGTGGTTAAAAAATATAAAACAAAATATACCACTCCAGCCATTTTTGTACAATTCAGTAGCGTTAAGTATATTCACATTGTTAGACAATCAGTCTCCAGAACTTTATCAGCTTGCAGAACTCCAGCTCTGCACCCACTGGATGACAACTCCACATTCCTCTGCCCCAGGCCCTGGTAATTATTGTTATTTCTGTTTTCAAGGGATTAGCTATTCTAGATACATTGAAGAAGTAAAATCACACAGCATTTGTCTTTTATGAGCAGCTTACTTTACTTCAACAACAATATTTTTTATAAAAATGAATGCAAAAAATAAATATAAAATTTATTAAAACACCCACAATATTTTAAAGATACCAGGAGTAATACAGTTCACAAACCCAGTTGTTTGTGTAAATTATAGTAAAATACAAACCAAAAAAGGATACATACTTGCAATTTCTAGGCACCCTAAATTAAATTTACTGAAACACTAGAGTAGAAGAGAGGACAAGGAGGGGTAGCTCAGGAGGCAAACCAATAAAATGGAAGAAAATATATTAACAAAAAAGGTTAAAATTATCAGCATAAATTTACTGTACTAAGAATTTCTACAGTTTAATGCACATCTTATTGCCTTGTTCAACAACAGTATTAATTCATGTTGTAGCAGTATGTCAGAATTTTCCTCTTTTTTAAGGCTGAATAATATTCAAGTCTATGTATACACCACCTTTTTAATTAATTGTTTTGATGATGAATATTTGAGTTTCTTTTACCTTTTGAACACTACCAATGATGCTGCTCTGAACATGGATTCACATTCAATGAC